CAATCATGTTGTCTGCAAATAGGACAGTTTGACTTACTCCTTTCCAGTTTGGATGCTCTTGATTTCTTTCTTTTACCTAATTGTTCTGTCTAGAGCTTCCACTATTGAGAGTGGGAGAGAGTGGGCATCCTAATCTTGTTCCAGTTCTTAGACAAAAAGCTTCCAGCATTTATCCATTCAGTAAGATGGTTAGCTGTGGCTTTGTCATACATGATCTTTATTGTGTTGAGGTACTTCCCTTCCACACATAATTTTTTGAGAGTTTTACTATGAAGGAATATTGAATTTTATAAAATGCTTTTTACTGATCTATTGAAATAATTACATGGTTTTTGTCATTCATTCTATTAATGTGATATATGATGTTTATTGATTTGTATGTGATGAACAATCCTTGCATCCCTGGGGTAAATCCCACTTGATCATGCTGTATTACCTTTTTGATGTGTTGAATTCAGTTCGTCAGTATTTTGTTGCAGATTTTTCCATCTATGTTCATCAGGGATATTGGCCTGTAGTTTCCATTTTGTGTGTGTTTCTGTGTGTGTGTGTGTGTGTGTGTGTGTGAGTGTGTGTGTGTGTGTGTGTGTCTGTGTTTGGTGTTGGTATCAGGATTATGTCGGCCTTGTAGAATGAGTTAGGAAGAATTCACTCAGTTTCAATTTTTGGTATAGTTTGAGAATCACTATTATTTAAAGATTTAGTAGAATTCAGCAGTGAAGCCGTCTGGTCCTGGACTTTTCTTTGTTGGGAGACTTTTAATTTTTTATTCATCTTGTCCCTGTTATTGGTCTGTTTAGGTTTTTTATTTCTTCTTGGCTCAATCTTGGTGGTGGTACATGTTAAGGAAATTTTCCATTTCCTCTAGTTTTAAATTTATTGGCATACAATTTCTCATAGGAATTTCTAATGATCCTTTGTACTTTTGTGATATCCATTGTGATGCCTCTTTTTTTTTTCCTGATTTTATTTGGGTCTTCTCTCTATTTTTCTTACATAGTCTAGCTAATGGTTTATAAATTTTGCTACGTTTTCAAAAAATAATTTTGTTTCATTGATCTTTTTTTATGTTTTAATTTCTCTTATTTCTGCTCTGATTATTTTGATTTCTTCCCTTCTACTAATTTTGGTTTTCTAGTTCCTTGAGCTGTGTTAGGTTGTTTATTTGAAATTTTTCTAGTTTTTTGATGCAGGCACTTATTGATATAGACTTGCCTATTAATATTGCTTTTGCTTGTACCATAAATTTTGGTGTGTTCTGTTTCTGTTTTCGTTTCAAGAATTTTTTTTTTGAGACAAAATTTTTGTTGCCTAGACTGGAGAGCAGTGGTACAATCATAGCTTACTGCAGCCTCAAACTCCTGGGCCCAGGGGATTCTCCCACCTTAGCCTCCCAAGTAGCTAGGACTACAGATGCATACCACCATGCCTGGCTATTTAAAAAAAAATTGTAGAGATGAGGTCTCGTTATGTTGCTCAAGCTGGTCTCAAACTCTTGGCCTCAAGCAATCCTTCAACTGTGGCTTCCCAAAGCTCTGGGATTACAGACATGAGCCACCATGCCAAGAAATTGTTTAATTTGATTCTTAATTTCTTCTTTTACCCATTGGTCATTCAGGAGCATGCTGCTTAATTTTCATGTATTTGTATAGTTTTGAATGTTCCTCTAGTTATTGACATTTAGTTTTATTCCATTATGGTCAGTTAAGATATTTATATGATTTTCATTTAAAAACAATTTGTTGAGACTTGTTTTATGTTCTAATGCATAGTCAATCCTGGAGAATATTCCATGTGCTGATGAAAATAATGTGTATTCTGCAGCTGTTGGGCAAAATGTCCTGTTAAGTGTTAGGTTAATTTGGCCTATGCTGCAGTTTAATTTCAATGTTTCTTGTTGATTTTCTGTCTAGATGATCCATCTAATGCTTAGGATGGGGTGTTGAAGTTCCCAGCTATTATAGTATTGGAGTCTATTTCTCCCTTTAGATCAAATAATATTTGCTTTATATATTTAGGTTCTTTGGTACTGGGTGATTTTGACTTTTGAAAAAAATTGTTGAGACTTGTTTTGTGTCCTAATGTATAGTCAATCCTGGAGATTATTCCATGTGCCAATGAAGAGAATATGTATTTTGTAGCTATTGGGTGAAATGTCCTGTAAATGTTAGATTCATTTGGTCTATGCTGCAATTGAATTCTAAAGTTTCTTGTTGATTTTCTGTCTAGATGATCCATCTAATGCTTAGGATGCGGTGTTGAAGTTCCCAACTATTACTGTATTGGGGTCTATTTCTCCCTTTAGATCAAATAATACTTGCTTTATATATCTGGGTGCTTTGGTGCTGGGTGCAAATATATTTATAATTGTTATATGTTCTTGCTGAATTGGTTCCTTTATTGTTATACAATATCCTTCTTTGTCTCATTTTATAGCTTTTGACTTGCGGGCTGTTTTGTCTGACATAAGTATAGCTACTCCTGCTCACTTTTTCTCTCTTCACTTTCAGTCTATGTGTGTCTTCACAGGTGAGGCGAGTTTCCTGTAGGCATCATATAGTTGTTTATTTTTTATTTTTTTTTTTATCCATTCAGCAAATCTGTATATTTAAATGGGAAATTTAACCCATTTACATTCAAGGTTATTACTGATAAATGAAGACTTATTCAAGTCATTTTATTGATTGTTTTCTGGTTGTTTTGTATACCCTTTGTTGCTTACTTTTCCCCTTATTGTTTATTTTTATGGTTGGCTGGTGGTTTTCTGCAGTGATAAGGTTTAATTCATTTTTTTCTCCATTGTATATTAGCTTCACCAGTGATTTTTATAGTTTTGCATGTCTTCATCATCATGATTACCTTCTTATCACTTCCAGATGTCAGACTCCCTTGAACATTTCTTGTAAGTCTGGTCTAATGGTGATGAATTCTCTCAGTTTTTACTTGCCTGTGAAAGATTTTATTACTCCTTCATTTCTGGGTATAATATTCTTGGCTAGCAGTTTTTTTGTTTGTTTTCCTTTCAGTACTTTGAATATATCATCCCATTCTCTCGTGGCCTGTAAGGTTTCTGCTGAGAAATCCACTGCTAGTCTAATGGAGATTCCATTCTATGTGACTTGACACTTTTTTCTTGCTGCTTTTATAATTGTCTTTGACTTTTAACAATTTGACTATAGTATGCCTTGGAGAGGACCCATTTGGGGTAAATCTGTTTGGGGTCTTTTGAGCTTTCTGAAGAGGGATATCCATCTTTTTCCCAAAACTTGGGAAGTTTTCTGCTCTGATTTCATTAGATATTTTTTTTCTTTCTTTTCCCCTTCTCTTATCATCCTAGAATGCTAGTAATATGAATATTTGTTCTCTTAATGGTGTTTCATAAATTCTGTAAGCTTTCTTCATTTTTTAATTCTTTATTCATTTCTTTTTCTGTTATTTCAAAAAACCTGTCTTTTTCAGAAATTATTTTTTCTGCCTGATCTAGTCTGTAGTTGAAGGCCTTGATTATATATATTTTTATTTCATTTACAGAATTCTTCACTTGAAGACTTTCATTTTTTATGGTATCTATCTCTTTGTTGAATTTCTCATTCAAACAATAATTTTTTTTCCTGATTTTGCTGAATTGTCTATCTATATTCTCTTGTATCTCACTGAGTTTCCTTAAATTGTTATTTGGAATTCTTTTTCTGGCATTTCATATATTTCCTTATGACTGGGGTCTTCTATTGGGGAATTATTGTTTTCCTTTGGAGGTGTTATGTTTCCTGCTTTTTCATGTTTGATGTGTTCCTATGCTGATTTGTTCCTATGCTGATTTCTACATATCTGGTGGAAAAGTCACTTCTTCCAATTTTATAGAGTAGGTTTCATAGAAAAGGACTTATTCATATGAATGGATCTTGGAGTATCGGTTCAGTGGGGTGTGTTGGCCTTACTCCTAGGTATATGCAGTAGTGTAGTCTCCATGCAGTTTCTTTAGCTGTAATCCACACTAGTGGCATTCGTGAGTTTCTCAGTGGCATAGGCTTTTTCACACAATGCAAAGTCCTCCTGACTCTGGGCAGATCTTATCTAAGCAGGAGAAACAGAGCTGCAGAAGACGAAAGCCTCCACATGGCCCTCCTGGCCTTCTGTCACCACAGGTGCATCTCCACTCTCCAACTGCACTCTAACACTCTCTCTTTGACATTCCAGTCAAATCTTAGCTGTTTGTTTGTTGCCTTGGTCCTTCCTTGTTAGAAGGATGAATGCTAGACATTTCTGGTCAGCCATCTTACTGATGTCACACTCTAATTTCTATAACTTTATTGATAATCTCTCTGTTGAGAGATTGTTTTTCTTATTTCTTTTAGTTATTTTTCCATGATTTACTTTAGTTCTTAGAGCATATATTAAATAGTTAAAGACTTTGTTTAGTACATACAATGTTTGGGTACCCTTGGGGACAGTTTCTATTAATTTTTTTCCTGCAATTGGGTCATACTTTCTTTTTTCTTTTCATGCCTCATAATTATTTATTGAAAACCAGACATTTTGATATTATAATGTGGTCACTCTGGAAATCAGATGCCGTCCCATTCTCAGAGTTTATTGTTGTTGCTTTTTGTAGGGTGTAGATTTATTTGTTTAGTACCTTTCTAAACAAATAAAGTTTAGTATTTTTTGTCTTTTTTTTCTTTTATCTCTGTGATTTTATTTCCTTTAGCTTATGGTCAGCCGTGGTCAGACCGAGATTTCTTTAAATGCCTGGGGATGAACAGAGACAATAAGAGGAAGAAGAAAAAGGAGGAGGATGAGGAGGAGGAGGAAAGAAAGGGAGGTGGATAAAGAGAGAGAAAGGAAGGAAGGAAGGAAGGAAGGAAGGAAGGAAGGAAGGAAGGAAGGAAGGAGGGAAAGAGGGAAGGAGGGAAGGAGGGAAGGAGGGAAGGAGGGAAGGAAGGAAGGAGGGAGGGAGAGAGGGACGGAGGGAGGGAGGGAGGGAGGGAGGGAGGGAGGAAGGGAGGGAAGAAAATCCTCTTTTAGCGTTTGCAAATTGGCTGTGTTTGGGCCCTCCTTCAATGCTTAGCCCAGATATTTACGACTTTGTGTTAGCTTTAACTTCCTGCTTTCTCTAAGCCTAACTGTCAGCCAGAGGTGAAAGCTTATGGTCTTCCCATTTCTTTTTTGAGCACATAACCTGCCCTGGGCATATACATGGATTTCTAAATAACCATTATAGAGAGGGGATTGTCAAAGCCCTTATTTTCCAAAGTGACTCTCTTCCCAGGTTTTCCTCCAAGGCTGTCAGCATCTTAGGGCTTGCCCCAATCATAATCTTTTGCAGGGTGGCAGGGACTTGTTTGTTTTTAAAATGTGTTTAAGGAAAATCCTTTACCTAGTAACTTTTCTACTCTGAGAGAGATCTAGGTAGGTAAAACAAAAGGAAGTGCTTTTGTCAGTCCTTCAGGGAACCCTCAGACAGGTCAGAACAGACAAATACAACTTCCTGGTAATAAGGTCCACTCTGCTCCCTCCAGAATCAGATACTCACACTGGAAATATGATCTTCTGTCTTCTATTCTGCTACCATATTAGGGAAGGAGTTGGGGAAGCCTAAGTTAAAAATATCACGAAGCTTTTCTATTCCTGCCATGTTGAGTTATCTTGATTTAACTTTTTACTTGGTTGCTCTAAACATTTGACGATTTTCTGGAGTTCTCACAAAGTTGATTCTGAAAGTATATAGCAGTATTATCATTGGCAACATTGCGGATTATGAAAACTTGGAAGTTCATTTTTAAAAATATGGCCTTTAATTACGTCAAAAAGTCTAAGACCAGGATGTTTTGGCTAAATATAAGAGAAATTATTACTTTAGATTTTGAGAGACATTTCAACTATGTGTCCACAAAGATCTTAGATTCATAATACATCTAATCTGTAAGTATACTTTTGTTATGATCTGGCCATTTTTTGAATACTGACTCTCCAGTTTTGTATACTGCCTCTCATAATTGTCAAGGCTTTGGGTTAAGTATGAGGAGATGCTGCAATCAGAACCAAACTTTATGCATTAGTAATATCTTCTTCTGTTTTATTATAATGTATTTTGTTCAAAAATGCTGTCTTTCTCATAGGGCGTACACAAACTTGACTACTACTGAATGGTCAGCTCCAATTGTGTGGCATGGCACTTACAATGAGTCAGTTTTGGAAAATTATTACGCAAATCATAAAATTACTGTGGGGTTGACTGTGTTTGCTGTGGGAAGGTAGGTAATGATGTCCAATGTCCTTTAGATTTAGGCTTTTTATTATAGAAAATGGGAAGTAATCTACTGAAGCACCCAATAATTTCACGTAATAAATATTAAATCAAGGCAAATTCCTGCAATAATTTTTTTTTTTTTTGAGATGGAGTCTCGCTCTGTCACCCAAGCTGGAGTGCAGTGGCGCCATCTCGGCTTACTGCAAACTCCGCCTCCTGAGTGCAAGCGATTCTCCTGCCTCAGCCTCCCAAGTAGCTGAGACTACTGGCATGCACCACCATGCCTGGCCAATTTTTTTGCATTTTTAGTAGAGACAGGGTTTGACCATGTTATCCAGGATGGTCTCGATCTCCTGACCTTGTGACCCACCCACCTTGGCCTCCCAAAGTGCTGGGATTACAGGTGTGAGCCACTGCGCCAGGGCTTCCTGCTATAATTCTTTTTTTTTTTTGAGACAGTTTCACTCGTTACCCAGGCTGGAGTGCAATGGCGTGATCTCGGCTCACCGCAACCTCCACCTCCTGGGTTCAGGCAATTCTCCTGCCTCAGCCTCCTGAGTAGCTGGGATTACAGGCACGCGCCACCATGCCCAGCTAATTTTTTGTAGTTTTAGTAGAGACGGGGTTTCACCATGTTGACCAGGATGGTCTCAATCTCTTGACCTCGTGATCCACCCGCCTCGGCCTCCCAAAGTGCTGGGATTACAGGCGTGAGCCACCGCGCCCGGCCCTCCTGCTATAATTCTAAATATCACTTGGTCCATTCAAAAAATGTCCCAACACTTGAGTTTTCTTTTGTTTCTTTTATCTGATTTTACAATGCTCTCCCAATATTAATTTAATTTCTTGGGTCTATTGACAGTCATTTAAAATACCTTCTCTTCCTTCATAAGGTTGTGCTTCTGTTATAGCCATTTTTCACTGTTTTTACAAGGAGTCGACCTAATAATTTGTTCCTACCAGTGCTTTCCCCAAATCATGAATTACTTTCAGATAAACTTACTTAACTGTGCTTATTGCCCCCTTACAGGAACACTGGTTCAATATATAATAAAACAATGTAACTGCAGATATTTGTAATAGAATTTTTACTTGCTATATTTTCTGACCACCAATCATAATACATAAAATAAAAAGTATATAAAATAATCCAGTAATTTAAAAATAAATCCAATTTTTTCTTAATTCTTAATCAAATAGAAAATCAAAATAATTAAAGTAGACTCCTAAAAAATACAATTACAATGAAATATTGACATTTAAAGATGGATAAATATAGCCATTGTGTTGATCTCCTAACTTCTGAAACTCTTGGAAAACAACAAATATGAATCAAAAAATGTTTTAAGTTAAATAAAACTAAGAAATATCCAAAATCGGCTGGGTGTGGTGGCTCATTCCTGTAATCCCACCACTTTGGGAGGCTGAGGTGGGGGGATCACCTGAGGTCAGGAGTTCCAGACCAGCCTGGCCAACATGGCAAAAACCAGTCTCTACTAAAAATACAAAAATTAGCCAGGTGTGGTGGGGTATGCCTGTAATCCCAGCTAAAGCAGGAGAATTGCTTGAACCTCAGAGGCAGAGGTTGCAGTGAGCTGAGATCGTGCCACTGCACTCCATCTCAGGAAAAAAAAAAAGATCTTATATCAATAACCTAACCTCCTACTTTAAGGAACTAGATAAAGAAGAGCAAACTACACCTTAAGCAATGAAAAAAGCGGTGTGAGGATAAACATTAGAGCAGAAATAAATGAAGTAGAGAATTTTTAAAAATAGAATCACTAAAACCAAAAATCGGTTCTTTGAAAAAGATCAGCAAAATTGATAAACCTTTGAAAAAAACAAGTTGAGGGGCATTCTATAAAAGAGCTGATCAGGACTCTTCAGAACTGTGAGGTCATGAATAACAAGGAGAGAAACAGACACAAACAGGAAGAGACTAAGGAGACTAAATGCAATGTGTGTCCTAGGTTGGATTATGGAAACTAATATGTCCATTGGAGGAATACTGATTAAATCAAAAAATCTATAGTATAGTTAATAGCGTCTTACCACTAATAATTTCCTACTTTTGACAAGAGTGCAATGGTTACATAAGACATTAATGTTAGGAGAAGCTGGATGAAGTGTATATGGGAATTCTCTAACTTATATTTGCAACTTTTATTAAATTTGCCCTACATCAAACCATATACAAAAATCAATCCAAATGGGTAAAATGTTAAAGATAATAAAGCTATGGGAAGAAAATATGAAAGAATATTTTCATTACTTTAAGGAGGCAAAGATTTCTGAAATATGACATAAAAGCACTTAACCGTGAAAATAATGCAGGCTGGGTGAGGTGGCTCATGCCTGTGATCTCAAAACTTTGGGAGACCAAGGTGGAGGAGGATCACTTGAAGCCAGGAGTTCGAGACCAGCCTGGGAAACATAGCGAGACACTGTCTCTATAGAAAAAAAAATTTTTAATTAGCCCATGTGTGGTATTGTACACCTGTAGTCCCAGCTATTCAGGAGGCTCAGGAGGGAAGATTTCTTGAGCCCAAGAGGTTGAGGTTGCAGTAAGTCATGACTATACCACTGCACTCCAGCCTGGGTGACAGAGTGAGAGCCTATCTCTAAAAACAAAATTTTAAACTTTTTAAAAAGAAATGTGGGTAAAATGAACTTCTTTGGATTTTAGGTGCTAGCTTCCAGCTCAGTAGAATATTTTAAGTGATACTTTTCATAATTTACTTGGTAATTTTAGATGTTCTGAACTAGAAAGGTTTCTCCTGATCTCTAATCTGCTATATTTATTAAAACTTAGAACAACATCCAGAATTCATTTTTAAGGATTATATAAACATTATTTAAGGTGAGCAATACATGATTACCTTTCCTTTTTTGAATTTACCTGAGGCCATTTATTACTCCGAGAATCTTTTCCTGGCTTGAGAGACTAGAATTGAAAAAGTTTGTTTTTCAGCCAGCTATTCTAAAATTACAGTAAGGGCCACAAGGTAAAATAAGAAAAATGGTTCAGACAGTGGATTATTGACTATGCCTCTTCTGATTTTGTATGCATAACTGATTACTCATAAAGCAAGACACAGACAATGATAACTCCTCCTGCAATGACCCAAGACCTTTCCTACCTATGACCCCCAAAAGCAAGTTACCATCGCTTTTCATGTTATCACCCTCAAAACTCTGGCTCTCATTCTGGGCTGGGTTCTGCTCAATTTTCTAATCTCACTAAGTTTCATTATCTCTAGTGAGGAACTTCTCCTCTATTCTATGATCTGCAGAACCCCATCAGGGAGAGGAAAGTCAGATAATTTCATTTTCTTCTATATTACTTAAATGTAACTCAAGAAGTATATCTAATATGTGGTTGCCTAGTAGCATTGCTAGATAAGCTAAAGTTAGTGCAATTTAAATAATATGTGCTCCACTAAAGTATAATATAAAGACGAACTCAATCACTTCTTATTTACTTCACAGATACCTTGAGTTCTATTTGCCAGGCTTTTTGTTATCTGCTGATAAGTTTTTTATGGTTGGCCAGAAAGTAATAATTTATGTCATGGTAGATAACTTCTCCAAGATGCCTTGGATACATCTGGGTCCCCTCCGTACATTCAAAGTTTTTGAAATTAAACGAGAGAAGAGATGGCAAGATATCAGTATGATGCGCATGAAAACCATCAGTGAACTCATTGTCAACCACATCCAATACGAAGTTGACTTCCTGTTCTGCATGGACGTGGACCAAACCTTCAGAAAAAAATATGGATTGGAGACTCTGGGAGAGTCAGTAGCTCAGTTACATACTTATTGGTATCAGGTAAATCCTAATCTAGTACCTTATGAAAGAAGTCAGTTATCAGAAGCATATATACCTATGAACAAGGGAGATTTTTATTACCATGCTGCTGTTTTTGGTGGCACTCCCCTTCAGGTTCTTGATATTGCCAGGGAGTGCTCCAAAGGAATCATCAATGATAAGAAAAATAACATTGAAGCAGTGTGGCATGATGAAAGCCACCTAAACAAGTATTTCTTTCTCCATAAACCCACCAAAATATTATCACCAGAATATTGCTGGGATTTTAATCATGAAAGGAATTCCGATATCAAAACTGTCAAACTCTCTTGGAATCTTAAGTATTATAAATTTCTTAGAGTGACAGCATAATTTTATAGCCCTTCCTTTATATTTCTGAATTTAAGGGCATCATTTTGTCTCATTCTTTAGAAAATTATCTTATTCCTTAGAAAATTTGCACTCTACAAAATTTAGCACTAAAAAAATCACAAACAAAATGGCAAGCCCACTACAGAGCAAACTTACACTTTCCCTTATGTTCATTTTGAATCATACAACATGAGATTTAATAGTTGCAAATAGGTTTACTGAAATCAGAAGAAGATATGAATGTTGAAATATTATTTGTTGGATCGTATCAAACAAAATTGATTGTTACAAGAAAATGAAATGTGAAATACTTTCATTGATCCAAGTAGATAAAAATTTTTCTATTCCTTAAGGAAATGAGTTATCTAGAGGTGTGGGGAAAAGAAGATCCCTACAACTATATTAATATGCCCTATATGTAAAACTTTGAAAACATTGAAGCTGTAACCAAACTTTGAGTCATTCTGAAAGAGCTATATACTTTAAAACTACAAAGTTGTTTGTTGTAAAAACTTATGAAAAGAAAATAAAAATATACAGAGAGAAAATTGAAAGTCCCCCTTTTACTCTCTCTTTGAAAATCTATCTTAACATATTTCCCATGTATGCATTTATATGCCCACTACATGAATGCATTTATATACCCACTACTACACACACATACTCACACATGTGCTTATATAATATTTTATACAAGTTGCCATATCACAACACCCATACACATGCACACACACATCTTGTCAATAGTCAAGGTCTAGCTAGTAAAGCAGAAACTACTATTCTAGATATTTCAAACAGTGGGGATTTAGCACAGGGAATTGGACATGAAGGTGATAACAGAGTTTGAGAGAGATACAACGGAGAGAAGGCAACCCATGATTTTCAAAATAAAGGTAATAACATCCTGAGGGTTGAAGAGAAATATGTAGGATGTCTAGAAAGAGCTAGAACCTAGCAGAAGTTACCTGGCATAAGGTGACACAAAAGAGAAAGGAGTTTCTGCTACTACTCGATATGTTACCCACAGTGAGGGTGTGGAGGAGAGATCCAAGCTTTTCTGCTCCTCCTACCCTGCTCTCTTCTATCAGTATTTTTTGGTGCCTGTGCTATGCAATCATTAGAGAGCATGAGAGTCTGGGTAATATAGACCTCTGCCACACTGAGCAGAGCACAGGAAAAATGAAAGATTGAAGAGTAATCAGGCAAATGGCTACTAAAGTCCAACCATTGTGCCACAAAGCACCCGTTTTCACCCTTCTATCCATACTTGACTTTCATAAAATGACTTAGTGTTTCCACCTACTAGAATTCAATTAACTTTTGTACAAAAGGACACTTTCTTCCCAAAAAGGTGGAACACAAATTACCATCTGACATAGTATCTCTCACCATGTCCAGGAGGCCCACATGAACTGAGTTTCTTTCCATCAGAACTGTACTTGGCTCCTCACAGTTTTGTGAACTCTGATCTAAATTAATAAAAGAATATCAATGTAAATAACGGAGGGATTCTCCACAGATATTAAGTTTATTCAGGAATGTGCAGGGCATTTGCAAATTTGGCATATGTGGGCTATAAAGCCCATAAGCATATCCAAAGAGGTTGCGGCAAGAGGAAGCCTTTAAATGTAAAAGGGAAAAGTATACATAATTTGTTCTGAAACAAAGAGAACTTCGGTTACAGGGGCTTATTGCAGGAGTTAACACCATTTCATTATTGGTGTATCAGGCAAGTGTTCTTGCGCATCTGGCTAGCCGTCCTTGTGACTCATGTAGCAAGCGGTATGTAAGAGCCCTTCAGAGAGTCTTTGTAATAATTCTTATCATAGGCATGTGTGCATGAGGGCCCTCTCTTCTCAGCCTACTGGCTTTATTTTTATTGTTAGGGTTTGATACAAGTGACTCCATTTTTTTTTTGTACTTTAGGTTTTGGGGTACATGTGCAGATCATGCAGGATTGTTGCATAGGTACATACATGACAATGTGGTTTGCTGCCTCCATCCCCCCGTCACCTATGTCTGCCATTTCTCCCCATGTTATCCCTCCCCAACCTCCCCATGCCCTGCTGTCACTCCCCCAGCCTCCCCCCACCAACCCCAGTGGTGACTCCATTTTGATCTTGATGACTTTCGCAAGAATAACTAACATTCCTCATTTTAAAATAATAGAAGGAAAAAAAGAAAATAATTGACTGACATATAGAAATATATTTTTATATTTATAATATACAAATAAGAATATGCATGCCTGCTGCAGTCCTCATCTCCATAACTGGTCACAAGGTCAAGTTCATATTTATCACATTTCTTTCACCACCCATTCCATGTTCCTTCCCCTCTGCTAAAAGTTCAGCTAGATACTGTTGTTTACCTGGTGGGATGGCGTAATTGTTTTCCCTATGAGATCTGAGTCTTTGTTGAGTCATTATTGGATTGCCACAGTTTCCCCTTAACAATGGCTGTTGGATAAAACAGTAGTAGGAGGCTCCCAGTGAACACCTTGAGTTCTAAATATAGCCCCCATTCCACTATTGTATAGTAGCAACCAACTTTCTTCTTGATAATTTTGGACCCTTGATAATTGGGTTCCCTGATTCAATACAGAGAACTCCTCTGGCTGTTGATTCAGCATGATGAGAATACAAAATGGCCAAAGGAAAGTCTCAAATTCCAATCAACAGGATCATTATTGTGTTTCCTGGTGGGAACATTTCTTTCTGAGGATCTAGGGCCTCCAAACCCACTGAACCCAAGCTTGCAGAGATGGAAACAAAAATGACTCCATTGGGTTATTTGGTGTAAAAAAGGACCTCACATCTCTACCTCATACCTTCTGGCTATGGAGTAGACAGTATGACATAGTAGCCACTATTTTAAGGCATATCCCACATACTGTAGGACAGCACCCGACCTCACAGAGTGTCGTCTCACAGCTCACAATGTTACAGAATCATTAGCAAGCCATTTCATAAAGTGACCTGCTTCCAGTCATAAGTTGCATGGTAAGAGCAATGGACTCCGTGGGTGTGAGTGTATTGTTGCACTTCCTTCACAGTAAAACATATCTCTTTAGTCTGAGGCAATGGATAAAGCCTCTTTAGTCTGAAACAATGGATAAAGCTGCAAGTCATGCTCCTGGCAGAAGAACTATAAGAAAGAAAGACAAATATCTATCAAACATATTTTTGTTTGGGGATAAATTTCTTACTTTTACATAATGGAAAAGACCCAAGGTAACCAATACTTCACCATAGTCTCTGCTATTGGCAGACTGGGCATTTAGCAGTGGAGATAGCCAGATCATCACTGACGAGAGGAAATCTATCTTACTGAGCCTGGGCACAGCTTCCACCCCTGCACCAATGCCACTTTGTACATAGGTCCATTGAGAAAATACTGTGGTGGCTATAGAAAAAGGCTGACTGAACTCAGTCACAGAATGGGTCATCTCATTGACTTGATTACTGAGAGCTTCATCTGTTGAGATTGCTCTTTGGTGACCATTTTCATGTGACACATATATCCTCACACTCTGCCTATTTTAGAGCCCCATAAAGGACCTTGGACTCTCTTGTCACCAATTTACCAATCTGCACAAGTCCAATATCATATAAACCATTTCCATTTCATGGATTGCAGATGCATACACCATGCTTTTAGTTTATTGGATCAGAGAGCATTAAGTTCATGGTGGGTAGAAGAGTCATAGCTTAAGTAAATTTCTTATGCATCAAGCATTCATCTTCTACCTGGGTCATGCAAAATGCCTTACCCAGTATCTGTATTTGCCACTTGAGTCTGCTAAATGGCACAGACCTTGCTCTACAAAATGGACTTTAATAGAACCTTCTCTTGCCTTGGGCCTCACTCAAAACTGGAATGGTTACCAGTTGCTCAATAAATAAGAGTGGCACATTCCAAATGCAGGATACGTCACCTCCAATATCCAGAGTCCCCCTCAGCATTGTGCCTCTGATTTAGTTGAAAGTGGTGAAAGGCACAGGAACTTGCTTGTCTAGGGCAATATGTCTACATGCTCCTTAGACATAGTGTTGATTGCAGGCCCCTAAATTTCTGAGGGGGTTTTTTTCTACCCCTTTGTATACATTTGTGTTAGCACAACATCTGTGAGTCTTGCTATTTTCTGTTCAAAAGATCCAACCAGCTGTGGCTAACAATAATATCCTATGAGCTGTCCTGATGATCCAGGACCCTGTGGACTGTATTATGACAACATAGGAGGGTTCACTAATGTCTCTTCCAGGTGAAAGCAAACTGCTTTTGATAATCCTCATTAATCAATATAGGAAAAAACACATTTGTCAGATGCATACCAAATACCAGGGACTATGCTAATTTGCTCCAGCAAAGATACACCTGGAAAAGTAGCTGTCATTGGAGTCAGCACCTAATTTACTTTACAGTGATTCACAGGCATTCTCCAACTCCCTCTGGCTTTTATACTGGCTAAGCAGGCAAGTGCTAGGAACCAAAAGCCTGCAATATTCAAGTCTTTAAATGGTAGAGCTAATCTTCACAATTACAATTTCCACAGGGAGGTGCTATTAATTTTGATTTGCTATTTTAGGAGAGCCTTTTCCATTGGCTTTCATTTGGCCCTTTTTAACATATTAACCATTTCTCCATGGGTCAAGGACACATGTAAATACTTGACCAGTTGCTAAGTATAAATATTCCAACCATAAATTCAGGAACTGGAGCAAAAACCACATAGTGGCTCTTACATATTGAAGTCACTGTGAGATAAATTCAGGGCAAAATTTATCTCCTTCACTGTGAGATAAATTCAGGGCAAAATTTATCTCTTATTTTCCGTAAGTCTTCACTCTCTTCAGTAGACCACAATAGCATTTCTAGTCCCTAGAAATTATTGTCAACTCAGAACTAGTGTCCATTCTACATTTCCTCCAAGGACATAGTATCCTAGCAAATAACCACAGGTCCTCCTTCAAGGTGACATAGCCTCCCTTCAATCAAGGGATTTAAGTTCTGTAAACTGGTTTAGGTGTGTGAACATAGCAAGAGACCATAACTTACTGTGGCAACTCAAGTTACATTTCTGTTGACCAGGCCTAGAGTTTTTCCAGCAACATAGAAACATATCATTCTTATTTAAATCAGAGTCCATTATAGTATCTCCTCACACCGATTCATTTCTTAATAACTTGGTAAAGAAAAATGTCCTCTAAGTCCCACACCCAACCAAAGAACATAGAGGGAAGGAGAATAGACTGAACATAATAAATTCAGTCACTTCGACATTCCTAACTAAACATTCCTGTCTCCCTAACTAAAACTTTGGATTTCTTACATAATGCCAGGGAAGTTATGACATCTAAATTTCATTAATCATAGGCTACCACTGAATGCAAATTTTAGTTTAAAAACCAAGAAAATGCTTGAACCACTTACTGCTGACTGAGATAACATACTAAAT